GAATTTATTCAATGAGAATGTTTTAAACTTCACAATGTTCCTGGAGCACCATAATTTTGCTTTAGCCTGTTTAAGATTTGAACCTCAGTGGTGGGATTAATGGTCTCGTCTGACAAAGATGAATGTTGAGTGCCAAGATAATCTACTTTTACCTCATTTTCTAAATGTTGCTGGCTAAACTCTACTTGGGCTTTGACATAATCTGGTCAGCTGTAAACATCTATGTTGTGCTGATTTCTGTTAATGTTGAATCTTTACATTTACGGTTTTTGCCAGAACGACTTACAATTTGATCATTTTACACATGTAGGTGAAGGTAGTGTTAGGAGTCTTGCCCAAGGACACTTATTGGTATAGTGTAGGGTGCTTATCTAGGTTGGGATTGAACCCCAGTCTACAGCATAGAAAGCAGAGGTGTTACCCACTACACTACACCAACCACTATAGGAATCTATTACATCTAACTGTAGCGCATCCTCCAGGACAGCTGCATCGACTAGTGCTACATCTTTTCTTTCTCATACTGAAGTGCATTAAGTGTGACTCGGCTTGAACAGCCTATGCTTTAGCATTTGCAGTAGTCGCAATGATGCTGACTCTGGAACTGAATGAAGATCTGTAAGAATGGCAGCTAATGGATACTTCTTAGTGCTTTGTTAGTGAAATGGTGCTTCAAGATGGTGACGATTAGCAACGCTGCACTGACTTACAACTGCACATTTGATGATCACACTGATTACAAATGTGTGAATCTTCAAGACACACAGCTTCACATGGTTTCCTTTCTTAAAGCAATTGTAAAAGCTATCCTTTCACTATTCTGGGGTCTCTGTTTGAAGTGCTCCTGTGTCTGAATTACAATGGTTTTTAAAGGTTATGATGTAAAATCAACTATTCTTTTTCATCTTATAAGGAAATACAGTAAATTAAGCAAAACAAAAAATGAACATCACTTAGAAGCTCAAGTAAAAATGTGCTTTAGTGAATCTAAAATTTAAAGCTGTCCCAAAACAGTAAGCAACTTAATGTGATTGATTTATACCGATCTAATGACACTGCATACGTTTTCTATAACATATAACAAAAAGTATACAGGGAGAATTTTAAAAGTTAGTCAGTGAAGAGAAGTTTAAGAGGGCAACAGTTTGGACTGCAACTCATTGCCCTTTAATGTCTGTTTTCCTCCATGTCTCCAGCTGGTCAAAACACACGCTGGCTGGATCGTATATTAATGCCTCCTCATTTACATGATCTAGTCTGCAGCCGACGTCATTTAAATGGCAGGTCACAATAAATCAGTCGAAAAACTAGCAGATGTGCTCGTTAAATTTTAGCATGCACCAAAGGTTTGGCATGCTCCTTTGTATGCGCCTTAGTAAATTTGAACCATATGGCCCATAGTGTTTTATTTTTTTAACACATGTCCAGTTAAGCACAATACATTTTGTGACACTTTAACACGACAAGTGTATTATCTTATACAACCAATACGTTCAGATTTCTAACAAAAAATGTGTCCTAATTGTGCAATCTGCTTAAGAGATATGCTGTGTTCTATTGGCCTAAACAGACCGTAACAAGCTCAAAACAATAAACAAACTCACAAATCCAGATGTTCAATTTATTATCAGTTCATTCAGTTTCTTATCACATTCACAGTACAGAAGTCAAATGCCATCTGATGTTTCAACACATAAAAACAAAACACAAAATGTGTGAATTTACTTTACATGTTGTTTGTGAGTATGAGAAGAGTGACATGAAGTATCGTGGTTTTGATATGCAAGCAGGAAGTTACTGTGACAATACAAGCAAACCCAGAGCGTTTGCGTGTTGAGCATATTAAAGTGCCTGAAACAGTATTCTTGAGGCAAGCTTGGTGAATTTCTTTGAATCCAGCTTGCTGGCTTGAGTCTCATTCAACAGCTGAAGGTAACTCTCTCTCTTTGAAGAATGTGTCTTGGATTTACTCTTTGTCCTCTACAGAAATGTTATGGAATGAGAGAACAAAGGAAAACAAATGTGTACCCGCAGGAGACGCATGACCGTTTGCCAGAAAAAGTGCAAATTGCAAAGCTCCATCTGGCTGTGAGGACAGTGTGAAACTTGGCAAACAATTGCACATAAACAGAACTAATTGAAAAGGGAACTATTTGATTTGATGTGTGCTTGAAGGGCATAGACTGTCTTGGGTGACACTTTCTTGGCATGAGAATGGCATGACGGGTATTCCACATCCAAAAGTAAAGACTGTTGAATGAGTAAGGAGCAGCCTATCACTCTGCTCTATTTCTTTCGGCCTGCACTATCAGCCAAAAGTATGGAAGCCAAAAGTTAAAGCTACACTATGTAAGATTTGGGAATTTTGGCCCTCTCTGTTGGAATCTGTAATCGCAGGGAAGAACATTTTGTAATATTAGTGCTTTAGACTCCTTCCCTGAGCAGATGAATCTGATGATTGTGAGTGTGCTGAAAGAGTATTCACAGAGAACTCAGTCAAAGGATGTACGTAAATTATCTACTATTGTCATCATATCTTCATCAGTGTAATATCAAGTCAAGTCCATGTTCCATGGTGCAACATGGAACAAAATAAGACAGTACAGACAAAGTGCGAACGTGCAGACATAAGTGTGCAAAAATTAAACTAGAAACAATAATAAATAATAATAAAACAGACCTTAGACACAGCAAACAGACTGGACAGTGCAGCGCCGACACAGCACTCATTTCTGAACATGAGGTAGTAAACTTTGAGCTGGACCTTCTTTTTGAGCCTGTGCATGTGACGTTAATATGTATTTTTTTTCTCTCCTGACACAGTAGTGCTACTTCTTTCAATTTTATTAAAAAAAAAAGCTTACATATTGCAGCTTTATATCAGTATGCTACCAACAAGCACAGCCCAATATTATTTTAGTCACTGGAAGTCCATTTTCTAGTAATCAGCAAAACATAACATCTCTATAGACATCTATGTTCTTTAACCAATTTACTTTTTTTCCACAAAGTCCTACTGGATTACAGTGATGTACTCTAGTTCTAACATATTACATGGGAAATGCCTTCACTACATTTTTTTCAATAACATTTTATTACAGTGACCATTTTTAATGATTTTTAAGCCCCTACTTTTAACACTGATACTGATTCAGTGAGTGCTGATGAAGTCTTCATGTGGGAATCTGAGTGTGTCTGAATGTGGGAATCAGGTAGATATTAACCCTGCAGGAGCATCACCAGGAGCTAAACTAATTAAGAATCAGATAATTGCACACTATTGCTGCAGGTATTTAGTCAAACCCCTTTGTTCTATGTATAGTCATGTTACATTACTTTATCTTATCTCTTGAAAAAGCTACATTTTCATGATCATTTAATAAATTCAAAATGTTGGGCCTGCAGTGTAAAATTAGCTCTGCAGTGTAAAGCTGTTACAGGACAACCTGCTTTGTGAAATAAAATAAAACACAAAATCACATTCAGTGTTTGAACACTGTACTCAAGTGAAACTGGTATAGACAATCACCACCTACTTTTTTAGAAATTTCTACTTTGTGGCTCCACCTTGCAGGTGTACAGTTGTAGCTTATCAGTTGGTGCACAGCCATTCTCTAGCTTATAAGCAGAGGCAGGAATTTCTAATGTCATAATTATTATGGTTATAGAGGTCTGAAAGTAAAACATGAAGCATCTTCACCCTCAAATATGAGAAAAGCTCTTTCTTCAGGAAGGCCATAATGAAAGAGTGAGTTTCTCCATAGAGTCTGGAGCATGTACAGAGAACAGGGTGAGACGGTTTAACTCTGGAGGGATTGGTGAGTCAGCTGAGTGAGTCACATTCTGCTGCAGCATGTACAGCGTTCACACTTGCACTCACACTACTGTTCTTTTTATTAAATTCTCCTTTTTTAAAATATGAATGTCATTCATTTCTACCTGTTAAATCATTAAGCTACAGAAACAGGCTATTCTTCTGCCCTTTGGCTTTATGGAGTCATCCATCAAGCAGTGCAGTAGAGGGGGACTCCTCTGGTTAATGTCAGGCATCAGTATTCACTCCCTACTGTATGACAACAAGGCAGTGACTAATGTCGGACCTCAGAAAGACACGTCAGCGGAGCGCTCTAAAAATAGCTGCACAGTGGCCTGTTATTTGAACACATAACAATGTAAATATTTGTCATTTTATTGATTGATTGATTGATTGATTGATTAATTGTTTGATTGATCAATTGGATGATTTATTGATTAGTTTATTAATTGAGTGATTGATTGATTGATTGATTGATTGCACACACTCAAACATATGTATATACTATACAAAATTCAGACCACCTTTTTGTTTTTTTTTTGTTTATTTAATTTCCAGTCAAAACAGCCATTAGGTACAAGTTATCTTTATTCGATGTAAGAAAGAAAAAAAATAGGAAACATATTTTACAGAAAATAAGAAAAAAGCACACATCCTCTAAACCGCTTATCCTTCAGGGTCGCGATGGGGTGCTGGAGCCTATCCCAGCTGTCATTGGGCGGAAGGCAGGATACACCCTGGACATGTTGCCAGTCCATCGCAGGGCAGAAGAAAAAAGCCTCCCGCACTTATCAGAACATCAAATCTATCAGTATTTTTTGTCTACTTTTTACTTTTGTGCACCCTGCTGCCATTTAACTCTTCCATCCTTCCAATCATAACACCAACAAAATGCCCCCTAATAAAAGCTGCTGTTCCCAAGGCTCCCACTGACATTATTTTCTCTTACAAAGAGGCACAAACATTCACACAAGCAACTACCCAAACACACCTTAGTGGCCTTCAAATTTCTTTGTCTTGTAATAGAAGTTCTCCAGAATTACTTGGGAAAAGATCAGCTCAGAGTTAAGAACATTTTCTGCGATAATTTGAATCTAATTCAGTATTATAATAATTTGAATCTAACTCAGTAATACACATCACTAGCGTGGTAGCTCCAGCGATGACGCCGCGCATGCGCAGTGCAGTTGCTCCGTGTGCGGCTGCTGTGTGAGGAGCGGAGCAGAGTGATGGGAGGCAGCAGGTGAAGGTGCTGCACGGAGAGAAGAGCACCGCGGCCGGGGCAGGACAGGTAGGAGCATGTTAATATAGTCACACTGGAGCAGTGCTAAAGATGCTTTCAGATGGGGCGCAGTGATGGAGTGGTTGAGTGATGGAGAGATGGAGGGATGGAGAGATGGAGTGACCGCTATTTCAGTAAACCGGTAAGCTGTTGAAGATGCTGACAGCGTCGTGTAGAGTAGGACATTATAGGGATGGCATGGATATTCAGCTCGGCTCACACCGTCCTTAAATTGCCAATAGCTAAATATCAGCATGCTGAGCGGGATGAATCTATTAACCAGCGCATTAACGGAGCGTTGAGACGTGACTGCGTGACGTGGACGGACGTTCGAACGTGCTGAAGATCAGTGAGTGTGAAATATGACGAAATCTGTCACTGGAGCGTCTCATGTAGTGCCAACCAAAGCTGGAAAAAGCGGGGTTTGTTGCCACCAAAAGTTGATCTTGGTGTTCACAAAACCCCGATTTTTATTTATTTATTTCCCCCCATCTGGTACACTGTTGTCAAGGCAACAGTACCACGTGATGGAGTCAGTGCTTTCCTGGAGAAGGGGATTGCTGACCCGTTGCATGGGGCACACAGCATGAACAGCAGAGCTGTAAAAGCAGGTTAAGCAAGTTAAAGTTAACTGTGTAATGACACTGGGTGGACAGTTGTGATAGTTTGGTGGGATTAAAGTGAAAGGTCACTCCAGGAGGACATTGGTTTATGAAATTTGGCTCAGCAAGAAGGTAGTGCATTTGTTTGTGTGTGTGTGTGTGTGTGTGTGGGGTGGTAGTGGATGTGTTTCGTACAGATGTGAAATGGACAGCGAGTTCTAGCTCAGGAAGTTGTTGGTTAAAATAGGATGAAACATACACAGTGAGGTAGCTGAGTCATCTTCCAATCAGCACCAGAGGACCCCCTCACACACGTACACACACACACAAACACACAAACACACAATAAATGCTTCATTTGATTGCTGCTGAAGGGCATGTTGATCACATAATTGTGGATTTTATTATTGGATCACTGTTGATGTTAACCACAGTTTATTCTGAACAAGTCACACACTCTGTTCTCCATAATGGAACAGTCAGTGCAACCACACATGATTTAATTACTGTGATGTGCAGAAAACTCATTTCCCTCCTGTTTCTACTTATGTGCTTTCCAGCTCCAAATTAGAAATTTGCTTGTGTTAAGGCGTACTGTGTGCTACCAGCATTAGCTGCTAATATGGGTTGTGTCGTAGAGACAGAGCATTTACATGTCTGTCTTTAAGGCAGTGTGTGTGTGTGTGTGTGTGTGTGTGTGTGTGTGTGTTAGAAAAAGAGAAAGAGAAAGAGAGCGAGCGAGAGAGAGAGAGAGAGAGAGAGAGAGAGAGAGAGAGACAGAGTATAATCTGATCTGTCTTGCAGAATGTCTTTTGCATTTCATGACTCATTGCACTGCTGGAAGGGCAGAAGGCCAAAGCCGTAGCCAGAGCTCTGCTGGGAGGAGTAGAGCTGACTATGGTCTGATTTGTAGCTTTCAGACTGGTGCAAAATTTAAAGGTCATATGACCAAAATTCCAGATATTGGCAAGAAGTGTGACAAGCAGTACCAGAACATCTGTGTGTCTGTGAAGGGTTTCAGTTATCCATGATACTGATTTGTCTAGTGGTAGTAAGTTAAGCAATTAGACTTCTAGTCTTGAAGACATTTGATGAAGACCCTTGGATGAGTACCGAAACATCTTTAAGATTATACCACCAGTCCAGTGATCTGGACTTAGTACTACACTCTTAAAAATAAAGGTGCAAAAAGCGTTCTTTGGAGTGATCCCAAAAATTAAACCATTTTTGTTTCGATAGAGAAGTTTTCAATAGATGTTTCTTTAAATAAGCATTTATGTGTTAAGTGTGAAGAACGTTTTTACAGTTTAAAATAATAGTTGAACTTAAAAATTCAGTCCTTGTGAATTATTCTTCTAGAACATCCAAGCCAAATACTCTGTGCTCCACTTCTGCTAATGACATAGCTACTTACATCAAGTAAAAGCAGCAGATCTAATTTAGTTTATAGCTGATCATTACTTCCACTTCCTCTGACTGTTGGGCTGCTGTCGGCCGATCGCTGCATGAACTCTTTATCTGTTCATACATGTTCTCATGGCAATTATGGTTTAATATTCATTGTTATTCTTTTCTCATTTAGATAACCTCTGATAGGCATTGCTAATCTGAACGTTTATTCTCTTTGATTAGACTCACATTGTTTCTTTTTCTCTTGATTCATTACTGTGTACTCTCCTTATTCACTATTAACAGCTCTTATTGTTTTGTTTTATTATTATTTTGTTATTTTGCTGTCGAACAGTGGAGGATGGGTTCCCCTTTTAAGTCTTAGTTTCTCTCAAAAATTCTTCCTCCTGCTCTCAGAGAGTTTTTCCTTGTCAGTATTTAGGCTTGGCTACTAGGGACCTGGGGGGTATTTCACAAAGCAGTATTTCTGATAAACCAGATAACATAAGCTCAAAGTTATGGATTGTCAAATAGAAATATCCCTCAGGTCCTTTCCTATTGGACAGGCTTGACTTTAGGCTTAAGTCAATCTGCCAAAACGAATAAATCCTGCTTTATGAAATACCCCACTGGATACCAGTTGCAGTTGTAAAATGTGCTGTACAAATACATTTTGAATCAAATTAAAACTAAAACAGCTTCAGTTAAGGAACAAAGTAGCCTCTCACAGTGATATGCACAGTAAATGCAGTGAAGCTTGAAGATAGAGTCGCTGATGGTTGTCGCTGATTGATGTTTTGTAGAACTGACTGTGTCTTCTGTGTGTTTTTTCATGCAGATGTGAAGGATGACGTCTTGCTCAGAGATCTGTGGGTCGGAGTATGCTGACCAGGGCCTGGGGCCAGTCCGGGGACCTCAGCGCTATGGTGTGCGCTCCTACCTGCATCAGTTCTATGAGGATTGCACCGCGTCCATCTGGGAGCGCGATGAGGATTTTCAGATGCAGAGATCGCCGAACAGGTGGAGCTCTGTCCTCTGGAAGGTGAGCTATATGTCTGACACAGCATGCAGGGCTTTGCTGAGCTCATGTGATCAAGTTACTGACAGAATGGCTTAGCTTTAGACCAGTTTTAGTTCTTTGTCTAGTATTACAGCAGTGTTTCCTAATTGTAGTCATGTGGTATGTTTGCACTGCATAGTTTTTTCTGTATGTGCTTACCCCATCACTTGAATCATCTCACGACAGGCTTGATGGGTCGATTCAGGTATGGTAGAGCAGAAAAAACTCAAGCAGGACAAAGGCATTCTAGTGCTAGGATACAGAACACAGCATTAACTCACTGAAGCCTTGGCACAGGAGTCCACTATTAATCTTGCTCTTCAGTAGCTATTAATTTTCAGTAAGTACTATGAGGCTGCAGTAGAGTTTTAAAGTATATTATTTAAAACAACAACAACAACAAAAAATTTCATGGGAGACTAGTAAACGTCATGAGAGGCTGGGAAACATCTCCTGTCAATAAATCATGCTAACCAAAACTTTTTCCGTAAAATTCCCACCCCTTCTGGAAAACAATGAGCATCCTCCTGTTGAGTCATGGTTCTTTTCAGTGTTCATCTTCATGCTCTCATGGAATTTTTTCTTTCAGTTTGATTATTCGGGATCTAAACCTGCATTTTTGGAAAGCTTATTTGGGCTAATGTCTGCTGTAGAAAGTAGCGTACAAATAAAACTGAATTATATTCTTTCTTTTCTCTCACAGGTCTGTCTCGCGCTGGGGGCTTTGATTCTGGTCGCCGGTTTGTCAGTGCTCTTGGTGGGCTATGCCACCCCACCCCGGCTGGAGGCCTTTGGCGAAGACGAGTTGCTCTTTGTGGACGGCCGAGCTGTGCGCTTCAACCGTGCCCTGGACGCCTGCAAGCTGGCTGGCGCTGTGCTCTTCTGCGTGGGTGGCAGTGGCATGGCTGTGGGCCTCTTGCTGGCCGCCTGTACTCAGGGCGGCTCCAAAGAGGAGCTCCGGCTCCAGCAGCGCTTCAAAGAGCGACTGGCGGAAATCCAGGCCTCAGTGCAGCCGGTGACCCGCGCACCCACACCTGGAGAGGCCAAAGTGCCCGTCACTCTGTCCAAGGTCCAGAACGTCCAGCCCGGGGCTGAGACCTGACCTGAGCTCTGACCCAGTCCCTCCCATCACCAGAGAGATGGTCCAGAGCAAGCTCGTAGTGAGACGCTACACAACCGTTCCAGGTCCAGTAGAGCTAGAAAACACTGCAGCTATCCTGATGAATATTGTCAGTCTATATCAAGAGTATTTCTGGTTATTGAGGTATTATAGATCACTTGTTAAACTGGTGCTCTTCAATCTATACTAGACAGCACAGACACACTCATGCGTGGAGATGACTGCTAGCAGTGGTCAAATAAAACTTAGATCAAGTTTAGGCAGCCCTTAGCTGGAACCAATCAATGTTAAGCCTAGAACTGGACTAAACTGCACATTAACATTATTTTGTATGTTTTTAGAAAAGTACATATTATTATTTAAGAAGTTCTCATAGATTCCTCTACACCTCAGAGCAATTTTGTCTTATCAAGAAACAAAAGAACCAACAGTTTACCAACAACTCTAATGCAAACAAAGCAATTCCAATAGTAATCAGATTACAATTCTTATAGGTTACTGACCATTAATGTTTTTTTTTACAATTCTGTATTTACATTCAAACAGACCACCTACTTCCCACCTCTTCGAATCTACAGCAAATTGAATGTCCTAATTTCATCATTTTAAAATCCCAGAGTGTATACTTAATAATGATTTTCTGTTGAAGTCCATATCAGTCCAGGCTAGACTTAACAGTATTTTAAGCCTAGCTTAGCATAGGCTTAATCTGTGTCCAGATATCTCAGCCTTACATTTGCAGATTCACATGGATTGGCAGGAATCAACTCATGTGGAAAGTTATAAACAATTAGGATTAGATTTTGTGATGTTGCAAAATCAGGTTGCAGACCACCAGCCCAAAGAGCCTGTGCACTTAAGACCATGTGAAAATCTGTTTTGATTGTCATTCTTGCAAATTATGATGTATAATAACCAAAACTGATATTGGACCAATATTTGAACCAATATTTCAACAAGATTCATCCTCTAGTTGCTGAATTATTTCTCTAATTGTCATTAACAATCACCCAAAACAGTTATAACATTTACTAATGGTTGTTGTGTTTTGTCATAACCAACTGCTTCAGAAGAAATAGTCATCCTGTTTGTTCCATTTCTCAGTCAAGCATGCATTTTACAGCAAAAGAGAAGTATATTTTACAGAAAGAAGAATATTTAACAGTCTATATCATCTGTTTAAAGACTGAAGATTGTCTACTAGTCAAAAACTGTACATCAGTTGCAGTGGAATTATTACTCACCTACCCTATCCAGACACAAGTATCAAATCAATATGAGATTAGCATCTTTTCTCTCACATAGTGTTAAATCCCACTATAGTCTCACATGGTGTAATGCAAATGCTTTCAAATGAGCTATGCTCACACATCTTGAGTGCAGATTTCATCTTTCAACTGTGCCGCAAAACAAATGTATTATGAATCAGTCCAGTGAATCAAAACAGCTGAGACAGAATGGAATCTGCCATTGAGAGTTCACCAACATTACATAATGGATTATGTCATAGCCCTCTTGGCTAATCCAGTCCATCTCCATTCTGACAAAATGATCTATCCATGTGGAGCCCACAGTTCCTTCTTCAGCCTCATTCATCTGTGGAGGACATCTTTTACAATCAGTCATTACACACACTGGTTTATTACAGCACACAGTTGCTTTGGCTCATGCTCTTCAGATATTTCTGCTTCCCACAGTAGAGCCTGTGTTGCTGCTTTGCATCATTGTCAGTCACTGCTATTTGTAGTAGCTCCTGTAGGCTTATCAGCATTTTTCCTCAAGTGAAAAGGTGCTGTTTGAACACATTCCTACATGCACACATAAAAGTTAAAAGCCAGAAATGCCAAACATCACTTTTTGACTTCCATTACTCTGTTTCTCTGTAAGTCACCTTAATCAGTGCAACAGATGTTTGGTCACACCATTTCAGCAAACTCTAGAGATTCATAGTCATTTTTGAACTGCTGATTTTTACTACAAACTGGATTATACTTCACCCAAATATTCTAATATTGTAAAAAATATTGTAATTAAATTATTACAAGACCATATGCTACATTGCAGGTAAAAGTTAGTAGGACTAGCCTAAAACCATCTTTCAGTAAAAGTGGTCTTCAATAAAATAATGAGTCAAGCAAAAGTGAAAGTAGCTACCAAAAACAACCTTTGACTTTGAGTAAAAAGTATCATATTCAAAAACAAATACTGCGTCCCATAGAAGACTACAATGGAGCCCAAAAAATGGAATTAGAAACCAAATGTGAATGACTAAAATGGAACTAAGGAAAAAATGTCCTCATAGATGCCTGAGTTGAAGTAAAAATATTACTATTTTAAAAAAAGATTCATACATGTCCAGATCCATCAAAATTTCACCTATTTCACATTTTCACATATGGAATTGTGTAAATTGAACCACTGTTTTCTGGAAACTTCATTGAGCACAAGAATACATTCATTAGCAGTTACTCTATTTTACTGATGACACTGCATGACAAAACTGAACTATAACCCAAAGAGTTTCATATCTGTAGTGCTCTCATAAAATATAACTAATTAAACAATCCTGAAGCCTTGAGCTAAATTTACTGGGGCAGAAAATATCAGAACAAAAGCATCTGGACACATTATGTCTTAATTCTTTTGACCCAAATATAAAGTCTGTGCATCTGCTTTGATATTTTTCTCAGTGACCTATCAGCATTACGTTGAAGACTGAAGAGGTGTCGTACACCATGTTGATAACACTCTCAGTATGACTACTGTAAAAAGCCTCTGGATAATATCAAGTGCTGTAGTTCACAATGGAATAGCTTTTTTGTTGCAACTGAGGAGTGCAAAATGTCCACAAAATATCAGAAATGTTCAAAGCTACAATTCCTCTGCTCTTGGAACATGTCTATTTTTCGACAAATTAATAAAGATGGATTTAATGTTAGCTTGCAGTTGCATCTTTCATGCATTGGTTTTAAATGAGGCCGGTTATTGTGTTTGCAATACACTTTTGATAGCATATGCTGTGTCTTAGTTTTCAAAATCTGTATACTCACTGTCTACTTTATTAAAAACCCCTACCTTGTACATCCACTTGCTTGCTCCACTTTATAAGGTCCAAATAAGTGTAGCAATAAATCTACCAAATAAGTACACATTTACAGCCCATCCATTTGTCGGCTGCCCTCCATCTCAAACCAGCAGTGGTGCTGGAGTTTTTACATGCATCACGGTCACTGCTAAGTTGAGAGTTGTTCGCCATCCAAAAGCTCAGCCAAGAGCAGTTCTGTTGTCAGAAACTGGCCCTTTATTGAGAATCAACATAAACTGTGCATCAACAGATGGGCTACAGTCGCCAACTGTACACAGAAGGTGGAGCTACAAGGTAGGGGTTTCTAATAAAGTGGACACTCAAAAATGCTTTTACCTTTCTAATAAATTTGAGTCAGTCACTGAGGTGCATGAACTCTCCACTGGAGAGCACTGTTTGATTTTACCAGACTTTCGCACTATGGCATCAGTGATGCAGTGCAGTAGTTTCACGATCCCTCTTCAAACTGCATTTTTTAAATCTGCTGCCTTATTTGAAACTTTCACTTCCATGACCCATCAGACTACTGTTTGATTTGTTCTACAAATGTCTGATGAAGATCTCAGTGTACACTGAAATACATAATGCAGTAGAATTTACATGACTTGTATTTCATTTCCACAAAATGTAAAAAATCCTGACAGTTATTGCAAAAAGTTGAACCAAAAGACAAAACTGTTATTTTTTAGTCATGTAGAAACGATGTACAAATGTTTATGAAGTCATTCAATGCATCAGTTTTTTCAGTGTGGGCTGCAAGCTGTGTGTTTCAGGACTCTATGTTCTAGGGAGCTAGCTATGTTTTTTAGGTCTCTCTGCTGTTGGTCTGATGGGACCAGTGCAGGATTGGAGAGCTCAAAATAGATGTACAGGATGTGTGCGAAGCTGAATGAGTCACAGGTGAAAACACTCACTCTCTCTCTCTCTCTCTCTCTCTGTCTCTCCCCTGTGACAATGATGACTCACCCAAGCTGCATTAACCTGGAATTTTGCAGAGAGGACATGATAACCTCTTACACAATTCTCTCCTTTTACGCAAGCATCCTGTTTGCTGGGTTATGTTAGTACAATATCTTATAATAACTTAGTGAACAAAACATAGTCTGCTGAACTTTGCTGTCTGTGGCCTACAGTACATACAACCACCATCACCAGAGGGCAGGGGGTTCCCACACTGGCTGTAGCTGGCTACTCCAGTGCTGGAGTGATTAACTCACATGCCTCACACTGATGCTACCTTCAAAAAAAAATTTGTTTCAACAATTTTTCTTTGGGAAATGCTTTTTGAGGCAGGCTAAAACAATGACCTTTCCCTGAATTTGTATTTGAGCATCTATTTTCAGGGACCCCCCCAGAATTTTGATTTTGAGACATTCAATAAACAGACTCACAAATACTTAAGATCAGAGTTTGTAAAGTACATGGTAAATTCTGGTATATACACAAAAAATGTTAACCCATTAAACCTCAAGGGCTGTATGTGGGCTTACACTCGCTAACAATCACTAACCTATTAATTTCATAGTACTTACTGAACGCTTTACACACACACATTTTCTAAACCGCTTATCCTTCTGGGTCGGTTGCTGGAGCCTATCCCAGCGGTCACTGGGCAGAGGGCAGGATACACCCTGGACAGGTCTGCAAGAATTAATTGTAGTTAATAAAAAATAAGTTGTGTGACGAATAACCAAATAATAAGGTTTCAAGGGCTAAATCATTATTGATGTGTAAAAACATTGTCATTAGAAGCTGACCGATGACAAGGATTTTCCCTCTTCATCCTGAATGCTATGCCCTAAATGCCCCTCCAGCGTTCTTCAGAGATGGCTAAACTGCACTGTGACTCTGCAGCTTTTCCTCTGCATGATGCTGCAGAAAGATGCTGTACTGTTCCTGACTGAAGGGCAAAGGCAGCAAGCTAAGCAGAAAACAATGCCCTGAAAATTAGAAGAATAATATGCTTGAGAGGACAAGGAGCTTCTGACCACTGAGCTGCTCTCAGCTGGATATTTTTGGATGACATGACAACAGACGCGTGATAACAGACATGTTATAGTCTGTAACTGTACACCTATGTAGTGGACCTATAAGGTAGGTAGTGATCATGAAGTAGTCACTGAGTTGAAGTGAAGTGGACAGTGAAATGATGAAATGAA